CTACCAACATGTAAAACAGGACTGGCGCCCTCTGGTGGTAAGAGGATCCTCCTGGGGAAATGGCTGTAGTGAAGAAACTCATCAACCAGACCTCACCCTGGCACCTTCCTATGACCTGACCCCTATTTGTTCATCTTGGATAAGCTCTATTCTTTCCTTTTCTACCCTCTTTATTGGCCTTTCCATGTTTCGTAACACCTTAATCCCGATTCTGATCTAGGAATTTAAAAAAGAACCCATGGGAGAAACCCGAGGATGGTGACAGTGTTGGACATCATGACTTGTGGTGACGTAAGATTTGATTCAGGAACAAGAGACATGTCATAGGAGATTTGCATTGGTCATGATGACAAGACAAAACATGAGCACAGATCCATGCTGAGGAATGTTTCTCCACTAGAGAAAAAAATCCATTCAATATCATAGTCAATAGAAGCAAAATTTGAGGAACATGATTCCCTATTTAAAAGTCGTTAACATTAAAAACAACACTTTCTCTTTTTTCATTGTTTTTATTGAGCTAAATATTATTCTCTGCTCCCCTCCCTTCTCCCTTCCCCTTCTACCCCCTCTCTTGGTCCCCATACTCTCAATTTACTCAGGAGATCTTGTCTTTTTCTACTTCCCATGTACATTAGAGTCATGTATGTCTCTCTTAGTGTCCTCATTGTTGTCTAGGTTCTCTGGGATTGTGAATTGTGGGCTGGTTTTTCTTTGATTTATGTCTAAAAGCCACTTATGAGTTAGTACATATTATATTTTTCTTTCTGGGTCTGGGTTACCTCACTCAATGTGATGTTTTCTAACTCTATACATTTGCCTGCAAATTTCAAGATGTCATTATTTTTTTTCTGTCGTGTAGTACACAATTGGGTAATTGTACCGCATTTTCCTTATCTATTCTTCAGTTGAGGGGCTTTTAGGTTGTTTCCAGATTCTGGCTATGACAAACAATGTTGCTATGAACATAGTTGAGCACATGTCCTCATGGTACCATTGAGAATCCTTTGGGTATATGTATTCAAAAATGGTATTGCTGGGTCTTGAGGAAGGTTGTTTCCTAATTTTCTGAGAAATCACCATACTGATATCCAAAGGGGCTGTACCAGCTTGCACTCCCACCAGCAATGCAGCAGTGCTCCCTTTTCCCCACATCCTCTCCAGTATAAGTGGCATCAGTGTGCTTATTCTAGGCTATTCTTACAGGTGTAAGATGGAATCTCAGAGTTGTTTTGGTTTACATTTCTTTAATGACTAAGGATGTTGAGCATTTCCTTAATGTTGTTCAGTCATTTTAGATCCCTCTGATGAGAATTCTCTGTTTAGGTCTGTACTCCATTTTTTTAATTGGATTATTTGTTCTTTTGATGACCGATTTCTAGAGTTCTTTGTATATTTTGGCAATCAGTCCTCTGTCCCATGTGGGCTTGGTGAAGATGCTTTCCCATTCTGTTGGCTGTCATTTTGTCTTGTTGACCATGTCCTTGGCTTTACAAAAGCTTCTCAGTTTCAGGAGGTCCCATTTATTAATCGTTTTTCTCAGTGTCTGTGCTATTGGGTTTATATTTAGGAAGTGTTCTCCTGTGCCAATGTGTTCAATTGTACTTACCACTTTCTCTTCAATGAAGTTCAGTGTAGTAGGTTTTACCTTGAAGTCTTTGATCCATTTGGACTGAAGTTTTGTGCATGGTGATAGATATGGATCTATTATCATTCTTCTACATGTTGATATCCAGTTAGGCCAGCACCATTTGTTAAATATGCTTTCTTTTTTCCATTTGATATTTTTTGCTTCTTTATCAAAAATGAGGTGTTTGTAGGTATGTGAATTGATATCCTGGTCTTCAATTCGATTCCATTGGTCCTCCTGTCTGTTTTATGCCAATACTGTTTTCAGTACTGTAGCTCTTTAGTAGAGTTTGAAGTCAGGGATTGTAATGCCTCCAGAAGTTCCTTTATTGTACAGGATTGTTTTGGCTATTCTGGGGTCTTTGCTTTTTCATATGAAGCTGAGTACTGTTCTTTCGAGGTCTGTGAAGAATTTTGCTGGGATTTTACTGAGCATTGCAATGAATCTGAATATTACTTTTGATAGGATTGTCATTTTACTGTTAAGTCTACCTACCCAAGAGCATGGGAGATCTTTCCATTTTTTGGTGTCTTCTTCACTTTCTTTCTTCAAAGATTTAAAGTTCTAAAAACAGCACTTTCAAAATATAAGTTGAGCCTGTGGGAAAGGTTACCACTCCCAATCTCCACTCACCACATTCTCAGTCTTCAAGTGTGGGTAGGCGTGTTTCTAAAACAGCAACATGCTATTCATCTCCCAGGATGCACTGCTGCTCCAGTAGTGTTCCACTGGGTGATAAATAGTCTGTGCTCTGAAAAAGTTCATTGCATCTATAAATACATCGTGCTCCTGTCAATCTTATTCAAAACGTTGCACCTGAATCTAACCTCTCAGGCATAATTAAGTGCAGCAGCTTACTAGTAACTTCTGGAAAAGGGATACTTCCACTTTTATTCTACAAGGAACAAATCACAGCCCCTTGAATTACCATATTCAGAAAAATGCCCACAAAAGAAAAAATTTAATTAAGTTTATTTGAAGCTAATTTAACCTGACCTTATTCTTTTTATCAATAATTTCACTTGGAGTATTTACTCTCCATTCATATTTTATAAATACCTGTGAAGTTCAAAGCTGGGAAAATAACAGTAGCATGTAACTAAACAGGAAATCAACAGAGGTTATATATCATTCAAGCTTTAGTTGTGGCAAGGGGTGCAACAATTGACTATAAAGAAAAAAAAATAAACACTGTATGCCGAGTAAGGTAGGAAATTGGAAAAAAAATGCTGGATCGTGTAAATGAAATCATAATATTCTCTCTCTGTTGCTGCTCTTGGATCTCTAGAAACAGTCCTTGATAGGCTATGGAGGCTTCAGAAGCTTGAGCTTCTTTCCTGCTCTCTTCTCCATCCTTGGCTCTACCAATGTCCACAGCTTTAAGATCTCATATGGGTGACCTTGGTGACGTTACCCACAGTATCTCTGACACTATCCTTCATAATATATTAATGTACATTATGTACATCATGTACCCCAGTATCTCCATTTTGTACCATACAGCCCTCTGTGAGGACTTTCTATTTCTATTCTTGCAGTTTGGAATGTTCTTCTCTCAGATGTTTCCCTAAATATTTCTTGCACTTTACATAGGTCACGAAATTCACCTCAGACTATTATGTGATAAAGGAACTTTTACAGAGCTGTGCTTGGGCTGTGGAAAGCCTAAGGTGCTAGACATTGGGAAAGCATGGCCAATCCCATTCCTGAAGGAGCAGGTGGAAGGCACCACTGCTGCTATAATGAGAGCAAAATCTGTGAGAAGAGGATTACAAACAAGAGCCATAGACACGGGAGAGAGTAGCAGAAGGGAGGAAGAAGAGAGAAGAGATAGCCTGCCCTGAGCTTTCTTTCTCTTCCCTTCAGATTGCCTGCATTGCCAAATCTAGGCAGAAGCCAGTGACCAAAATTTACAGGTCAGGCTTTCCACAGTCATCAGCCTCCCTGGAACAAAGCAGAACAAGGTAGAGTGGATGCAGTGGGCAGATGAGCGGCCAGGAATGAGACTCTACTCACTGGCCATTTCTTGAAAATTATTTTCAGGGATCAATATTTAAAATAGTATCTCAGACATATTCTTTCTGAAGTCCTTATCTGTATCCAACACTGTCTTAGATTGACGGGGATTTTTGTTTTGTTTTGTTTTTGCTTTTTCTCACAAAAATATAAGCTCTACAATTGGCAGACTTTGTCATGTTATTAAGTATTACATCCTTAGAATTTGAAACATCTGCTGCACAAGAGTACAACAATTACTGGTGGTCAAATTCAATCTTCCCTTCACTCTCTGAGAGTATTCATGTCTGAGAAAGTCAGCTACATGCAGTCCACCCTCAACATTTCTAAGGAAATTAATCACACATATGAAGTCTGTACTCTAGCCTTTCCTAGGATCTGAAATATCATTCAGGTTACCTAATTTACCTTATTGATTAAAACTAATAAATTTAAATATGTTACAATAAACATACATACTCACTATATTTCACATACTTTTCTTTCTTTACTAAATACAAAATTACCTAACGCAGCATGACTGTAAATGATGTTAAAATAGTTTAACAAAGTTCAATTTAAAAAAGAATATGAAATACTTAAGTCATTCAAAATATGGCAAGAGTTAATTCTCAAAATTATCAAATATTTATCTATAACACTTTTTAAAATTTTTATTCAGAATAACTACAGTGACAGGGAGCTCACCAGCTTAAGAACTATGGCTTTATGGGGCCCTGATACGATAAAGTTAAGTTTGACTCTTCTTTTTCCTTATTCCTTACAAAATATAATTTTTTCATCTTCTTCTTTCGTGCAAACCAGAGACCTTCAGTTTGTCGCACCGAATTTCACACACCACCTTTCTGCAAATGCCGCTGTTCTCACTTCAGACGCCCACAGTAGGACATGGTCTAGCCTGTGGTCTTCCCTGCAGAGCCCGGACTCTGAAGTCTATGCCTCAAGCCTGGGTGCAGGCAGAGCTGCACCCTTCTCACTTAGACATTCTTTTTTCACCAGCACAGTTTCCAAGATCAAATTCAGTTTCTTTTTTCCCTAAACCACATGACATTACCAACCAGTATTGATCTATTTTTACATGTTGCTCAGTCACGGTTGCCAAAACTACTGGAAAAGTACACATTTGTTCCGGGACTTCATCTATCATTGCAAGGTCATTAGTGTTTCCCGTATGGTGTGACAGATGCTAACACAGGTACAATAGGCCAATAATACAGTGACCACACTGAGACAAAATGCAGTCCACAGACGTCAGTCACAGGCTTGCCCATGTGTGTCTCTAAGTGCCCCAGAAATTAGGGCAGGAATGATTCTACCATGTCATTCCACCACATGACAGTCATTCCGGACTTACCTGCAGCCACTATGATAATGTCTGCCAGCTGAGTATGGGCCTTCAGTTGCTCTCTGGGAGTGTATCTGTGAGCCATCGTCACTGTGGCGTCTCCTGAAAAGCAGAAGAGACTCCATTAACGGCTACTCTATTTTCCCAAATTCCACAAAGGTTTTAAACCTGAGGTATGTTTTGCTGATACTCATAAATAGGAAAGTTGCTTCGACATGATTAAATCACTTTGAAAAGAAAAAAAGAAAGAAATTCTAGATGAACCAAAATGTTAAAATTCTACCTTTGAATTGTATACATGGACAACCATATTAGGCTCAATGAGAGTAAAAGTCGCCTGTCCTTGGAAGGACATCCCTTTAAATTTTGTATTGACTAGCATCAGGGTGGCACACTGGTGTAGTAATGACAGGGAGACAAACATAGACAGCAACAAGACACATGTTCTACAAACGTGCAATGTATTGCAGAAGAATAGGTGAGAGATTAATTCGGCCAAGAAGGGGTGTCAGGAACGGGTTCCTAATGGAGGCAGAGTATCTGTTAATGTTCCCAAGCATAACAATTTGGAAAAGGAAGAAAAGGACATTTCAAGTGAGACGATGAAGCCAATCAAGTTAGGGACTGTGGTTAGGAAAATCAAGAGGACTGGAGTGGAGTAGGAAGCTTTCGTGGGAAAACTTGAGTTGGTTAGAAAGTAAGAAGGAAGGTGAGGAGCTCTGTCATCTCAAGCTATGACATGGCCTGGGAGGAAGGATGAGGCAAATGCGGTGAAGGAAGCAGCCCAGGGAGGGGTGACACAGAGGAGTCACCCCAGCAGGAGGCACTGGGAACTGCAGGGAAGGGGAAGGCCAGGCAGTGCCTCCACCCTAACCCCAAGCAGGAGTATCGTGCAAACAGCAAATCTACAAAAACCCATCCATTTAATGATGACTAATAAATAAGGATTTGGTGAAGCATCAATAAACATCCCCAGGAAGGACAAGTCTAGGGTAATCGGGAGGTGATGAAACAGTTAGGGATCCAGTGGTGGCTAAGACTAGCCTAGTCAGGATGACTCGTGTTTTTACCCACTCAGGCAGCTATGAACAAGATGCAGCAAACTTTACCATAAGAAAAGTTTTAAAGAAAATACTTCAAAGGTGGCAGAAATAAGAAAGAAGTATACAAAAATGAAATCAAAACATGTTTTAACTAATTTATCGATATATCAAAAGGCAACAATTCGTTGTGGAAATTGAACATTATGAACAAGTATTATAATAATTTTTAATTGGAGCTTAAAGTAATAAAAGCCAGAAGGAAGTGACATGAATCCACCCAAACTGGCCTATACTGGTCAAAACTGAGAGGCATTGTAGCAATGATTCTGAATTTTAAATATTGGGAAAAAAAACTCTTATAAACAAGCATCAACCTCTTCTCCCCTCCCCCCAGCCTCAAATAGAAAAATTCCCATGTAAAATTGGGATGCAAGAATATTCTCACCAGCCACTCAAATTAAGATTAAGAGTTGCAAACAATATCGAAAATTCATGACCTTGGAGAATATTGTTCATAAATGAAAAGAACTTGCTAAGACATGTGCTCTGATTTACCAACCCCATTTGCAGAAGCACCCTTAGCACTGTTAGAGAGAGGTGACATGTTTTATTACAGAAATAAGACTTTGAAACATGTGGAGATCTGACTGACAGACTTCTGCGGCTTGCTTACTCTCTCCTAAGTCATATTGAAATTTAACTGCCATGGCAGTGATACACTGGTGGGACCAGTGGTGCTTTTTTGATGCATGAGACCCCTTGTGATTAACGCTGCTGGGGGACTGGACTCCTCATGAAAGACAGTTTCAGCAGCAGCATCTTGTAACACTCACTCTTTGAAGCTGTAAAGAAATGACCTCTGTTCTTCCCAGATTACCGGCTACAGCATTCTGCTATAGTAGCAAAAATTTGATTCAGACACTGACAAACGAAAATGGTATTTGCTTAGATAATGTAGAAAGAATGTAACACACAAAGGTAGAATGGGAAGGGAAGGCCAAGTCTTCTGGTTGCTCATACATAATAATGGGTATCAACAAGTTGCTTTAAAAGCTAATAAGCCAATAACACAGGCAACTATTTCAAAATATAAATATTCTTAAAGATGAGTTTTATTGATTAATATCAGATAAGAAACAAAAACTGAAATCAGAAATGGAGCAAGAACATTCTACCAATTCTTTTATAGTATTAATAAATATTACACAAAACTAGAGAATTAAATATGCTCTATGTCATAATTATGAAGAAAATGAAAATCTTAGATATTCAGGACAGAAAAGCTTAAAAGGAAAAAGGAAAACAGAATAGAGAGTACATTGATAATCCTGACCATGGGTATATACCATAAAAGTGAATAAAGACTTTTTCAGTCACCTACAAAGGATGATGGAAGGAGCAACTCAGTAATGAATAGGACAAAGATGTACACTGAGAAAGCAAAGAGGTGGGCTGGGTGTGGTGGCACATGTCTCCAATCCCAGAACTTGGGAGGAAGGGACAGGAGGATCTCCAGATTGAGGTCAACTTTTCTCACAGTGAGTTCCAGGATATCCAGAACTACATAAATAGATCATATCTAAAAAGCAAAGGGAAAGGAGTAAGGTAAGTGTGATGTTTAATGCCTGTAATTCCAGGGCTTGGGTCACAGAGGAATGGATTTCCAAATTGAGGTTATCCTAGGCTACATAACGAGTTTTAGGCTAGAAAGCTAGCCTGGGACACATACCAAAACCTTCTCCCAAAAATTATTTTAAAAGGGAAGGAAAAAAAAGAAGGAAAGAGAAGGGAGAAGGGAGAGGAAGAGGACAGAAGGTGCGACACAAATGAATATAAATAGACAAAATAAAATTGATGTCATGAAGAAAATGAATTCAAGTGAACATAAACACGTAAGTAACAAGAATGGAGAAATGCAACTCGTGATAAATAGAAATACTCTGCAGTTGTTGAGCTTAATCTGCCCTTTTCAGATCACAGGTCAAATGCAGAAAACACAAATAACATTTTATGATTACAACATATTAAACTCTAAAAATAAATTATATGCTTTATGTAGCCAGACAACACTTTCAACTGGTATTATTTTGGGTAGCATTATTTTCATTAATACCAAAGCAGATAATTATATAATTCATAAATAATTAGCCTTGATCACAACTTAGCAAAGGTATTATTATTGACAAAAAATAAAATTGACCCTCCTACTGAAACATTTAAAAATCCTATTTCAAATAATTATTCGATCAAAAAGGAAATACAAAAACAGTACTGTAGAATTTCTAGAAACTTTCATAATAAAAGCAGTTTATATTAAATCTAACAAAATAAATATAAAGCAATTCTTAAAGAATAATACATAGACCTAAGTTACTAAATCAATAAGACAGAAATCAGAAAAAATAAACCATTGATGTAACTTATTAAAAGTTACATAAAGAAAAAAATTCAAAAGTAGAAAAGATTAATGAAAGTAAAGTTTAGATGCATTTGATAAATACATATAGCAATATTTTACTGTTAAAACACAGAGATAATTCATTAAATTATCCAAGGAAAAAATGAAAATGTAAAAAGAAATACCCAATATATCTAACAACATGTTAGAAAGCACTGGGCAAAGACCTCATTTTAATAGCAGATAAAAAGGTACCATGAGCAGGAAAGGTATAAAATCAGTGTGATATAAATATCCCTAACATAATACCAAAAGACATCAACTAGAGGGAGTAGATGGACAACCATGTTTCTGGGCAGAAACTCTCACCATAATGATGAACATTCCCCTGCATCTGCTGCAAAAATAGATAAACAACTCAGATAAACTATTTTTCTTTTGGGGGGAAGCAACTAATTGATTTTAAAATTATTATGGAAAACACAAAAGAAACTAGCCAAAACGTTTCTGCAAAGGAGAAACAGAAGTAACTGGTCAGTCTATGGTCTGTCTCATTTTAGAAAATGGTGCACGTTATTCTCGGGTCCTGCCATAGAAGCCCAAATTTCCCTTGGTTTTTCTTTTGGTTTCGCTCATGACTAGTTCAGTGTTTGTGTTTACATCTTCCCTAAAGAACTAATTAGGGTTAATGCCTATACTTCACAAGCCTAGAGAAGCCAAACAACAAGGTGAACCCAAAGAAAAACATATATAGATCCTCCTGGAAATTGGAAGCAAACAAAATTGCCAGGCTAAAGTTGGGAGCATAGGGGTGGGGGTAAGGGATGAGAGTGGGGTTGGGGGAAGGGGAGATGGAGAGAGAGAAGGGAAAAGGGAAAGACTGGGGAAAGCTTGGGGAAGTGGTAGGGTGGAGATGGAGGAAGGGTGGATATAGGAGCAGGGAAGAAGATCTCTACATTAAGGGAGCCATTTTGGGGGTGGCAAGAAACTTGGCTCTAGAAGAGATTCCAGGTGTCCATGGGGATGTCCCCAGCTAGGTCCTTGGGCAACAGAGGGGAGGGTGCCTGAACTGACCTTGCCCCACTATCACACTGATGATTGTCCCTATCTCCATTCGTCACTGGATGAAGATTCTATGGTAATATTTGAGATAGAGACCCTCACCAGAGCAAAGGACTGAGCTCCCAATGTACAGCAGAAGAGCAGAAGGAGGGAGAAGACCAGTAAGGAAGTCAGGACTGCGAGGGGTGCGTCCACCCACTGAGACAGTGTGCCTGTTCTAATGGGAGCTCACCAAGGCCAGCTGGACTGGGACTGAACGAGCATGGGATCAAACCGGACTCTCTGAATGAGGCTGACAATGGGAGCTGACTGAGAAGCCATTGATAAAGGCACTGGGACTTGTTTCTACTGCATGTACTGGCTTTTTGGGACCCTAGTCTATATGGATGCACAGCTTCCTAGGCCTGGATGTAGTGGAGAAGGCCTTGAACTTCCCACAGGACAGGGTTCCCTGCCCTCTCTTAAGGAGAGAGTGGGAGGAAGGAGGGTGAGTGGGAGAGCAGGAGGGGAACGGGAGAAGGGGAGAAAGTGTAAATTTTTGAATGGAAAAATAAAAAAATTTTAAAAATTTTATACCACAAGAAAAAAAGGAACTAATT